CCGCCGACCGGCCCAGCGCCGGCTCCAAGTGGGTCCGGCTCAACGTGGGCGGCACGTACTTCGTGAGCACCCGGCAGACGCTGTGCCGCGAGCCCAAGTCCTTCCTGTGCCGCCTCTGCTGCCAGGACGGGCCCGAGCTGGGGTCGGACAAGGTGAGGGGCTGCAGGACCCGTCCCCTCCCCGCGGAGATGCTTCGTGCCCCGGCCCGGCCCCTCCGGCACTCTGGCTGCGGGGCGATGCCGCCACACGCGTGCAGGGTTTGGTCCTGCCTCCCTTTCGAATGCCCCCGATGATCTCGCGAGGTCCCTTCCAGCCCTAATGGCCACGAAACCCAGGCACAACGAGGGGTCGGGGTCTTCCCACACCGTCCGATTTGTATTGCATGTACCGTCCACGTGTAGCTCGCTGGCGCCTGTACCGTACTTCAGGCTTTGCTCCAGCTCCCATGCCGGGAAGGGGGCCCGGCCCTTGACACCCAAACTTTAAGGGGGCTATTTGCCCACTGGTATGAACCCTGTCCCCATCGCATCCACCTGCTGGGCTACAAACCTAGACCCTTGCTTCACCACCTGCTGTCATGCAGGGTAGGAAGATGCACACGCGTGAACCTGCCATTTTCATAGATTTCATAGACGTTAGAGCTGGAAGGGACCTCGGAAGATCATCGAGTCCAGCCCCCTGCCCCAGGAAGTCTTACCTGTGTTGCTTTGGGGGGGTTTTGCCCCAGCTGTGCCTCCTCACAGCAAACTTGTTTCGTCCCCCCCTTCCCTCCCATGCACAGTACAGGCAGATGTTTGTTACGCAAACAGACAACATGCATGGCATCGTAACTCCCTGCGGTGACTGACAGGCAGCTGAGGGTGTGCTGGGAATCGCAGGATCATAGAGAAGTCAGGCTGAAAGGGACCTCCAGAGCTCATCTAGTCCAGCCTCCTGCCTGAGGTAGGATCATCCCTATCCAAGCCATCCTATATAAAGGAAAGGTATTAGCAATTTTGAAAAGACCCTGTGGCTCCCACTTTTTACTGAATATTAATCCCTCAGCCTAGAAGTGTATTTAAACTACCTCTTTTTCTTTGACTGCTTCTGCATTGTCTTTACCGTTTATTAAGTGTGCTGTTTATTTTGATCTGAAGTTGCTTCTTATCCACTCCAGGCACATTACAGAGAAATCTCTACTTTGAAACTGCAGCCTTTTCTCTAGAGGATACAAGCATCGAATGCTTTATGGACAGATTAGATGCAGTCTCCTACATCTCAGCAGCCTGCAATCTGTTTATAATGGCCTCTATCGTAGTTCACTGGGCATAGAGTAAGAGAGGCTTCAGAAAATATTGTGGTCAGCTCTGCAGTAAAACAGACTCTTTATCTCCTGCACCTAGATTGCTCTGATGATAAGCTGAAGGAGAGGCACTATTCTATGATGTTTGAAAACAATATTGTGATGCACATGTAATGATTGCTAATGCTTGTTCCTCCAAAGTATGTTTCAAAATGGGCTGTGCTGCTGTTTTACTTGCGTCAACAGTTTAAACTCAGCTCAAGGGATATGCTTCCAACGATTAATTATTGGTCGTTTTGTAAGTATTATACAAGGCCTTTTAACTTGGAAAAGCCCTAGGTTATAACAACAGCTTATGCCTAGATGGATTTTAAGACATGGGGAAAATAAGGAGATATTTTAGAGTCAGATGTTGCTTTCTGGGCAAGGAAGCCAACTTGTTTTCCAGAGAAGTTGGAAACCATTAACTAGCTACAGTGAAGCCTGGGTTGCTTATAACAGTACTTCTTGTTTAATTTCCTCAAAGGCAGTCTTTGTCATTGAACTGGTCTGAAAACAAGGAGCAGACTGACCAAACAAGGCCATGGGGTTTCACATGGTGATAAGAACATTTGCCCTTATCAGGCAGAATAAGCACCAGTTTGTCTTATCTTTGGTCATTTGTTTTGCTGTACATGAGGGGGGAAAAAAAGCACGTGTCTTTAAAGTGATTTGTTGGGAGCGCAGATCTGCCAGCTTGGGTCTAGCTGGGAATGTGGGCTTTGGAGTGGAATTTTTAAAGAAGTTTGCACGCTGAGTATTGGCACTTCAGGACAAGCATGATATCTTATCACCTTCACCCTCGCTAACTGGCATCAACAATTGTTTATTGCTGTCCGTTACCCTGTTAAGTTTAAATTCAGGGCATTCTTAAAGAAGCACTTATAAGAGTAATCACATTGATTTAAGTAAGATTTCTCCCTGGGAGTAAGCGTATACAATTTATGTCCTGAAGTTATGATATATTGCGGGGAGGGGGACAACGACTCTTGATAAAACGCCACAGATGTTTACAGTAATGTAGAAACATTCCAACCCATGTCAATAGTTTGTTGCTGTAGGAGAACACCCTGGACCTATTTACCAGGGTGGATTTGATTTAAATCAAATCGATTTAAATCATGGTTGAAATTACTGGTCAGGAAGCCCTGACTTAATCATTGTTTTCTACAAAAAGTGCATACTTGTTGTTTGATATCCTTTATTCATTTAACTTCTTGAAACTTTGTACTTTTAGAGCAAGTTAAGCGCTTGACTCTGTGTCCACAAACTTGCAGAGAGACAAAAGGGCTGAGGGTAGGTAATCGAGTCTCTCATCTCCATATATTGCTGTTAACAAGGATATTATCTCTGGAGAGAGAAACCCACAGTTTGAGAACTGAAACTAAGCATCACAGAGATGCTTAATGGGATCTTCTAGACTGAGCACAGAGTCCCATTGGGTAGAGTGGTTTTCTTTAATCTTTACTAATCTATAGAGGAGCCTCAGGGAACTTCATAAGATTTGGCCCCTAATATAGTCCGTGGCCTGTTGTGACCTATTTATAAAACTTTTCTAAAAAGGTTACATGAATATATCATCACATAGTATACAGTTAGAAGTTATAATCCCCAAGATGATATCTTTGAGCTTTTAACATATCTTAAAACTATCTTTATGTAGTGTTTTTTATTAAAGCATCTTAACAAAAAAAAAAATCAAAACATACGATTAAGTCAAAACAATCTGACTTAAATTAAAAACACTTTTTCATTATTTTTTTTAAAAAACATTGATTTTTATCCACCCTGCTATTAACATAGTTTACAAGGACAGAGGTGTAGAATAAGAAATGAACAAAAGGAACCGATTGATGAAAACAACCTTTGTAACATAACTGAAGTAATTTAAGGCACAGATTTCTTATTTTATTGCCAAGACTTTGATTTTGTACATGGAAAGACTTGTCTAAGTGCTGCATTTTATGGACAAGAACTACTTCCTAGCATAGGTTTATTTTAGAGCTGCCAGTTTTGGGTTGTATGGACCTTAACTGCTTTCCAAGAGGGCCTTTGATTTTGGGGCAGTTTTCAAAGCAGTCAATAAGAAGTGTAGGTTAGGAGTTGGAGCAGGGGTCAGCAACCCCCGGCACACGTGCTGAGTATGGCACGCAAGGCCATTTTGCTCAGCACACCACCACCAGCCCGGGCTCTAAGCAGCTGCTGCCAGCCATGGAGCTCAGGCTGCTCCCAGCAGGCCGCTGGGAGGCTGCAAGCCCTGCTGCAAGCAGACAAGGCTCTCTGGGCCGGCTGCGGCTGGGAGGCTGCAAACAGCTGCTCTGGGCTCTGGCATGTCAGCACTCCAGCACCTTCCAAGGTTGACATTGTGGGGTTTTTGGCACTCCGGCCAAAAAACGTTGCCTACCCCTGAGTTACAGTAAGGTTCTGTGACCTAAGAGCTTTAGAAACAACTGTGACAATGCATTCTCTTTTTTTTTTTTTTTTTTTTTTTTCCAGTCAAAGGAAACCCAGTTTTATCATTTTCATGCCCATGCTCCCTCCTCCAAACTTTACTGGTTCAGTTTAATCATTTGTTACTTACAGCTTGACTCCTTTTTGTGTTTGACAGGATGAGACGGGGGCATATCTCATCGACAGGGATCCCACCTATTTTGGTCCAATCCTGAACTACCTCCGACACGGGAAACTCATCCTAAACAAGGAGCTGGCTGAAGAAGGTGAGAGCCACCCCCCCCACCATCCACAAAAAAGGAAAAGGCTGCAAACTACCCCACTCGACACAGCTTCATCCTTTCCCTTGCCCATCATTACGTGAAAGTCATCTGGGTGTGGAGCCTTCCTCGCTCCTTAAGCAGGCCATCTTGTTTGTTAGGTCCATTTTGCAATAATGCAATGTTTCTTCAGACTCCTACAATGATGCTTGTGAATAATATAAAGCTAATACACACTGTAAACTTAGCAAGGCACAGGTTTTATACCAAGGAATGCAGATATTTGCTGCTGTGCTTACCTCAGTGGATTCCAGAAGCTGAATTCGTTTTTCAGAGGGGAGGGATGATTATTTCCTCTGAACATTCTCTCCTGGTTTCTTCATCTTCTCAGACCACAGTCCTGAGCACTGTGAGAATGGGCGCCTGTCTCTTTTCTAGAAGGTGCAAGACAGCTAAACCCATTTTGCCAAAAGCCTCCAGTAAAAGAAGCACTGCCCTATGTTTCTGTCATCCTCATGAGTGGGGAGCATGGCTCTGCTAGGTATCACGCTCATTCATGTAGAGGAGGCTTCAACCAGTTGGGTACAGAGCATTGTCTCAGCTAGAGGCAGTGGGATCGCAGCACCCACTACCCTGCATCCAGCAATAGTGCCAGATCCAGACTGGATCTCGGTATAAGCATTACTAAAAAAAAAGAAAAATGGCGGCATGCACAGCCGCCCTGTAGTGAAATCGTCCTTATTCTGTTTGCTTTAATCTAACCAAATCCACACCTTGTTTTAAAGGGGTACTGGAAGAGGCCGAGTTTTATAACATTGCATCTCTGGTGCGGCTGGTGAAGGAGCGGATACGGGACAACGAGAACAGAACCTCCCAAGTAATGCATGTTAGCACTTACCATCAGGGTGGCAATAAGGGGAGCAGGCAGTGCAGTTCAAGCACCTAGGGCTGGCAGCAGTCCGGGATTCTAGTCCTCTCAGGTGGGTGGGAGGCAATGCTGTCTGCTGTATCCCAGGTGTGTTGAGAGAGCACTTTTTTTGTGGCTGTGGGCATAGGCCAGTGGCGTTTATCATTTTTGCCCAGTATGTCTGTGGGACAGCTGCACAGGGGAAGGGGGCATGGCCTGGTCCAGCCAGCCACACAGGGCTTGGATATTTAGAAGTGGGAGAAGGTGGCAATATTAAATTGCCACTGCTCCCCTATAGTCAAATTTCTGAACACATGGGGAACCCTGCAGGCCAGATGTCATTACTGCACGGACTGCATTTGGCTCATGAACTGGAGGTTGAGTGCCCCTGGGATCAGCTAGCCAATCCACTTCCAGCCTCTCCAGGTAGAGACCACGCACAGTCAGATAAAAAGAGGCCAGGAATAGGATTGGGTAAAATAAGGTTCAAAAGCTACAAGGTGATTGGGGTGTCTCAAGAGCAGATTAGTTTTTTGACCTAGTCAGGATCTTATATGAGCATCTCTCCTAGACGGTGGGTTTTGTTTTACACTGATTTTTTTTTATTATTATTATGATGATGATGATGATGATGATGATGAGTATTTTGGTAATTGAATTAACAAAAGGGCAACACTACTGTTTTGGCAGAACATAGTTGCACTGCAGTGTGTGCCCATTGGATCATACTTCCTTTCTTGCAGTATAGCAACATCCTATCAGTCATTCAGTTCCCCTCCTTTTTCTTCATAAGAGACAATCTCTTAAGTGCAAGCTCTTTTCCCCTGACTGCTTTAATATACTTATCAGCAGTAAACCTCTTTAGAACAATAGCTGCTCAGCATCTCTTCCTTGCAATTCTTTTTGCTGCTGGTAAACCACTATTTTTTTGCATTAGTAGATTCATTTCTAAAAGAATAAAATTTTGTGACATGCTAAAGTGACTTAACATTCAAAGGGACTTGGACTTCCAAGTCACTGAGAGGTGTTAACCACTGTACCTCAGATCCTTTCATGAATGTTACACTGTTGTCCCTATAGTCAGGAGGAGCCAAAAAGAAAATCCAGTATATTTTTCTAAAGGTGGCTGGGGGAAATCTGTTCTCAGTTCTCCTTTTTCACTCTAATGTCAAGGTAGGAACCAGAGCAGGAGACCTAGAGAGGCAAAGCCTGAACTTTATTGCTTTGTCTGAATGTTGACACTGCTACACTAGCTCTCTGCTCCCTTGGTATTAAGTTTCTGCTTGTTTTCATCCCTGCTGCTCTAGGGACCTGTGAAGCATGTGTACAGGGTCCTACAGTGCCAAGAGGAAGAACTCACACAGATGGTGTCCACAATGTCTGATGGATGGAAATTCGAACAGGTAACAGTGCCAGTGATTAGGGCTGTGTGAAGCTTTGGTCATAGTTTCGATTTGGCAAAGATTCGGCGGCCAACTCTCTGAATCCAAATAGAATCAGGACACCCTTTAATCTCTCTAAACTGAATCTGAACCCTCCAAATCAATTTGGAGAGATTTGGAAAGATTTGATGATTCGGACAGACACAGCTTTAAATGTTTTTTCTACATGCCTCAAGGTAGCAGGCTGCTTATGAATGCTGAGATGCTGGGGCGGATGGAGTATCCCACAGGAGCCGGGGAGGGGGTCCCCCAGCGTGCTCAGCAGTGGACCTGGAAGTGAACCAAAAGCACTTCTGGTATACTTCCAGGTCCGCCAGGGAGTGTGCAGGGGAACCCTGCCACCCGGCTCAGCGACTGGTGCCTCCTGGGTCTGGGAGTGTACCCGGTGACCACCCCTTCCCCTCCATGGCTAGTTGCTGAGCCAGAGGGGCATGGGGCGTGGTCCCCTGCGTGCTCGGCGGTGGACCCAAAAGTGGACTGGAAGTGCTTCCGGTCCACTTCTGGGTCCACCACTGAGCACGCAGCCACCACCCCCCATGCTCCTGTGGGATGCTCCATCTGCCCCACCATCACAGCATTCACAAGCCACACTGGTACCTCGAGGTATGTAGAAAAACCATTTAAAGCTGTGTTTATGGCCGAATTGCTGATTCTCTAAATCAGCATCGAATCTTCAGATTTTGATTCGGCCGAATCAAATCGGGATAGTGATCCAAATCACTGTCCCTGATTCAGGCCAAATCCAAATCGAATACAGCCCATTTCGCACACCCCTACGAGTGATCCCTTTAGCCCCGTGGCATGAGACCAGAGTAGGAGGATGAGTTTCACTCTGTTTAATCTATCTCATTGTTTCTCCTTCCACGAACAAACCTGTCTGCATAAAGAGATCAGCTTGCCCCATATGAAACAGCTGGCAGGGGAACAAGAGCCATTTCCTGAATCCACAAGAGTTCATTCATTTTTCTTGGGCCCTTTCGTATCCTTGTTAGGTTTCTGAAAAGCTTTTCCCTCCTCGCACTTTTTTATGCATCTTTGGCCTTTATCCGAGAGAAATTAGAGAGCCAAGGAGAAAGGAAATGAGATTTTCTGCAGGGTCCAGCAGCAGTGTCTGGTCATCCGCCCATGAGGTGTTGAGTGATGTGAGAAATACTCTCCCCTGCCAATGTTGAACATGCTGCCTTTGCAGCACTGCTAGTTTGTTGGCCAGGTGTCAGTGGCGTTATAGGGCATAAATCAGCTCCAAATGGGTATCAGAATCCAAACCTGGTTCCCTTGTACTTCTGAACTCCAGCAGCCAGGTTGGCCCATATTAATGGCCTATTAAGGGATGGTCTAAATGATTTGTAGCTGAACTTCCTTCCAAGACTGACCTGCTTCCTGCAGTGTCCTTTTGAAATGAAACATGCTGATACCAAATGACTCACAGGGCTAGGAATAGCTCTACCAAGGATGGCACCTTCACTTCTAGGGCAGGCTTCCAAATACAGCTTTGTTGGATTATGACTGAAAAGTGCTACAGTAAAAGCCCTGTTATCTGGCATTTTATTAACTGGCATTTCCATTAACCAGAATTTCCAGGTGGGGAGGAGGAAGCTCTCACACAGCCGCTGCCACCTACCACCCTGCGCTGCCACTGCTCTGTGTGGCTGCTGCCACCCACCTCCCACCACCTCCCCGCTCTGTGTCCAGCTGGCAACCCCTGTGCCTCAGATAACTGGCATTTTTAAATTACCAGCACTCCCCATTCTCCACTCATGCCAGAAAACGGGGTTTTTACTGTACCATGTAGTAGCAATGTGTAGTAACCCCTGTGAAAGAAGCTTGATGGTTCTCAGTCCATTTTTAATTGGACAGATGTCCACAAGACACTTGACATTATTAGCACAGGCACTGAGCACTGACTAGAGCAGGGAGATAATTGCATGCACAAAAGCAGACTGGTGAATGACTGGTTAGGCTGCAGTACTGCAGCGAAGGACCTGGGGGTTACAGTGGACCATAAGTTAAACCTGAGCCAACAGTGTGCTCTTGTTCCAAAATAAATAAATAAATTAAAAAAGCCAACAGCATCCTGGATTACATCAACAGGAGTGTCTTACAAATCAGCGGAAGGAATTCTTGCACTTGATTCAGCACTGGTGAAGCTTCACCTGGAGTATTATGTCCAGGTTTGGGCCCCAGACTTCAAGAACAATACAGACAGTTTGACTCCAGAAAGAGTCCAGTGCAAAGCAGTAAAAATGATTAAGGGCCTAGGAAGCATGACTTACGAAGAAAGGCTGAAAGAACTAAGACTATTTATAAAGAAAACCAAGGGGATTTGATAAGTCTTCAAGTACCTGAAGGGTGATTGTAAAGAAGATGGAGATAGACTCTTCTTTCTTCAGGCTTAGCATGACACAGACTACGTTGATTATTCTAGAGAAATTTATAATCTACATCTGTCCCTTGTTAAAAGGCAAGGCTTCCTATTTTCCAAAATCCTGTATAGAACCTTGTGATGTATAACAGTCTTATGTAGTCTTATGCTTGGGCATAAGATTCCTACCATTTTTTTCCACATTTGTGGATTTCACACCTTGAAAAAGAGTGGGGCTGAGAAATGCTAGTGACAGCTAGGCCTTTCACTCCAGTACTTCACTTCAGTGCAATTATAAGCAGTGCTGCAACAACAAAATTTGGTGTCTGGGGCAAAGCCCACAGCAGCAGCCTGCCCTTGCCCCGCACACAGATCTGGGGGGCACCCCCCCATGCTTGGCTGGGACTGCATGCAATGGCAGGAGCCATGTGGAGGGAGAAAAAATTATTGGGGGGGGGGGCGCACATGCCCCCTGGGCCTCTGCTGAGGTACACACAATGGCAGGAACCCTTCCTTTCCCCCCACCCCCCATAACAAGCTGCCTAGGCTCAGATTGCCCGGCCAGGGCCCACATTCACCCCAGCCCCTGCTTCTGCCCGACCCCCTCACCACTGGGGCCTCTATCTGCCCCCCTTCACAGAATCGACTGATACTTGACTGCCGTGCTGGGCAGCCAGTGATCACATGCCAGGCTGTGATCCTGGCTGTATGCACGCCCCTGCTGCAGCTGCCTGGAGCCCGTGGCTGGGCTGCCTTGTGGCCCTACCAGCTGTCCTGCATTTGGTGGGGGGCTGAGCCCTGTTAGCCCTGGCCTTCCACCGCCTAGCTGCCCTTCTTCCATTCCCATGCCTCCAAATGAGCTTTCTGCTCCATCCCATGCCCCATCCCATGCCCCATCCCGGCTGCGTAGCACCTGTTGGTGCCCCTTTGCTTTGGCACTTGCCTTCCCCCCCCCCTTTTCTACGGCACTGATTAATTACAAGTATAGAGCAGAGAGAATTCCCTGCTCACAGAGTCCACTCCCTTGCTGTCACAGGTACCTACATCAGATAACCCCACTCACACTGATCAAGCTTGATCTTAAAAAGTAATTTGGTAAAGAATAGAGCTAGTTTGCCAGGTGTTACTGGGTTGCTGTAACAGGAGGTGCTCCTATCCTAAAACTGCCTCACCAGATTCTCTGCATTCAAGGCAGAAAGTATAATCAGAATTTAATTAAAAGATGGTAGTGTAGGAGTGTTGTAGCCATAATAGTCCAGGGATTATGCAAAGGGCAAGGATTTCCTTGGCTGGTATCTTTTATTGCCCAACTGTACAGTTGGGATAGAGTTAAGCAAGCTTTTCAATGCAAAACATTTTTCATCAGGTCTGATCACAAGAAGCCAGGCACAACATAGTATTTTAATGCCCCTCACATTAAAACACATGTAATCTGAGATGGATTTAAGAACGCAGCACCAGCAGGGGGCTCCGTGTTTATCAAATCTAGTCCCCTTGTTGGCAGGCAACCCTTTACCCAAGAATTTCCTCCCAAATCACCCCTTCAAACCCTGACACAAATACAAGCCACAAAAACAGAAAAACATACGAACACCCTATAATGCTATGTGAAAGCTGAGGAAAGCATCCTCTAGTCTTTCAGTCCCCAGTGCCTGGGAGAGCCCACTGCCTTAATACATCACCCTGAATCCAAATGTTTAAAAAAAAAAAAAAAAACCCAAACAAAAAAACACTGATCAATATTTTCTCCAAATTGGAAAATGCATGTGATCAGCATTTTGCCCTGCTGTTCAGCTTCCAGCAGAGGGCAATGTAACACTTCCAGTTCCTGACCTAGGCTGCACAAACCATTTCTGGTAACATTGACAACCTTTGTCCTGTTGAAACTTCGGTTCATACTGGGCTCAACCAGCCTGTTATTCCTTGCTATACGGCATCAGGGCCAAAGCAGGGCTTGTTATGTATTGCTGGATTTCTTCCTTACCTTCTCTTGGTTGTTTCCGGTTCCTCAGCTCATCAGCATTGGATCATCTTATAACTATGGAAATGAAGACCAGGCAGAATTCCTCTGCGTCGTCTCCAGGGAGCTCAATAACTCTACCAATGGCATTGTCATAGAACCTAGTGAGAAGGCAAAGGTGAGGCACTGGAGAAAGTGCATGATCCACAGTTCCCCTGTGCCCAGGAAAAAACAACTTCCTCTCCAGCCCACATGATGACAAGAGGCCTGACGAATTCTGTGCACACATTTGTTTATATCCTTCACCCTCATCCTGAGATCTCTGCAGTTTTGCCACATGATAGTACAGCAAATCTAGCCACAACCAAAAGGCTAGTCACACATTTTTCACATTATGCCACAGAAATAATGGAAAGAGGTGAGCTTTAGGGAGTTATCATAGCTGGGAATCTTGTTTCCTGGTCAGAGATGCCACAGTGTGGGGAGTGGGGGCTTTTCTTCTGACCTCCCTCTAGCTAACCGCTATCACCCGTTATCCCAGCAGTGGGATGGATGTCTTGGTCTCAAGAAACAGCGGCTCCAATCCCAGCTCTGCCCCTGACTCTGTAAAATGGCCTGCCCAGAGCCACAAACTACCTTGGTTTCCCGCCCTACTATAAAATAAGGGTAACACTTACCTCACAGAGGTGGTGAGCAGTGGTGCCCTGACATTTGAGCAAACCTCTTTATTTTCAAAAGCCTCCTCTATTTCTTGTTGCTATATCTGAAAAGCAAGCAAGATATTCAAGCAGGAAAACAAGCAAAGATTGTTATAAAACAATAGGCACATGGATGTACGCACACACACCCGCAAAAGAGTAGAGATTCTCTCGGGGTGTAGCAGAACCTTCCATCCTGCTGCAGCCAGCCACTTTTAGCACATGTCCATCTATTCAAAGAAAAATAATTTGAAAGAGGCTTGTAAAGGCACTGACCACTCATACCCATTCTTCCCACATTCCTCATAAAACCACTCAAACTTTTACAGGTCCCATGTTTTACTACAGCAGCCTCTGTCTTTCCAGATTCTTCAAGAGCGAGGATCCCGGATGTAACCTGAGTGGCTGGTTCAGTTAAACTCCTAGATGTCAAAAGGGCAGTCGAGCCGGGCAGAGCATTTCTCCGCAGTTCAACCTTGCTCTTGTACAGTAACCAAGCTAACGCAAAACAAAGCTGAGCCTGTCCTGCCAACGGAGAAGAATTCTGGTCATAACCAAAGGTTTTCCCCTTAACTCCAGGAAAGAAGGAGACACTCGTCCAGTTGTGGATAATCCTTTCTCCAAATATTCATTTTTGTTTCCTTGGCCAGCGCTGTATTCAATCTTTCCAACTGACGGCTGGGCTGGATTCCCAGCCAGAGCCTTTGTGAGTGTCGCTCAGGTCTGCAGGCCCCTTTCATCTGCTCTCCCATCCCACCGCCAATGGGCTGGAGTAGGTGAACAAGGAGCTATGTTTGATCTGGGCCATCTCCCTTGCCCGGGTTTGCCGAGTAGAAAACTTCCAGCTACTCGGCCATGCTCCTTCGTCTCAGCTAGCCCTATCCAAATCAGATGAAAAAGGGTCTAGAGGCAAACGACAGAAACCCAAGAACTTGTCTACCTTCTCCATTCTTGCTTTGTATCTGTTACCGGTTTGATTCCTAAGAGCCAAGTAAGATGCTACATAAGTCTAGAGGGGAGGGAAGTTGTATGCATGTCTAATGCTGGCCCTGAAGGCTTCTGTTGCCCACACTTGCTACATATGGGCTCCTGGCATTTCCAAAAGCCTATTGCTTTTCATGCATATTTAAACAAAACCTGTTCTCGCCCATAATGCAACAGAGTCAACAGTTCTGCCCTTTCCTCTCCTATCTTGGAGAAGAGTAGTGACAGGGATGCTGTCCTACCTCCCCTCTCATACCATGTCATGGCTACACCTAAGCCTGGCAGAATTACTTGATTTATCAAGGGAAGGGGACTTGTTATTGCCAAGTTCAGCTTTGCCTTGTCCGTCTCCAGCAGCATGGACTCCCTTGTGCTCTGTCTGTCTTATCCCTTCTCATGGCAGCAGGAAGAGTTAGGGCAGACGTCCTTTTGTACTGTAGCAAGCCAGTAAGTTTGTTTCTATCCAAACTGGTCAGCTCATTTGTGGAGGAGATCCCCCTCTTTTATGCATGGTGGTTCCACATCTGCAGCCCCCTCATGCAACCACCTCCAAACAGGTCAGCCTGAAGTACCATGGGGCATTGCAGAGATGGGAGGGGGGAGGGGGGTTGGGTGAAAGTTGCCAAACTGTTGTAATGTTTCTTGTCCAAAGTGACGTGTCTACTTGTGACCTTTTTTTGGAATGCCTTGAATGGACGTGCAAATGTGCGTTTGTGCCTCTCTCTTTGATTTCTAATCTTAGCCAAACTACAGTTCGCTGGTCCCTTCAGTGAGTCTGTGCCATCCCTAACCAGTGGTGTGTCCCTCCTAGTCTGGTAAATGGAATTTCTTAGGAATTCGCTGCATGTTTCTTCCTTAACTTCCCATCCTGGCTTTGTTCCTCGTAGCCTAGTATTTTGGCACCCGTGTCTTTTTGCTTCAGCGCTAGTTTGGGACTCGATTCAACCTTGGAATTCACAGGCGTTGGCAAGGCCATGGTGGAAATTCCTGGTCTAGGTCAATTTGCCCTGCAGGAATTGGATTCACTGACACCTGGTCAGTGTTGAGATGCCTCTGGTAGGGAGGTTTCCCCATCTCTTCCTCATGACTGCAGGGCACAGGATGGGGACCAGAGCTGCTGAGGGTCTGGATGACCTTTGTAGCGTGCAAGACATGTAGATCAGAGATGTCCCCACCTGCTGTCCACTCCTCTTCAGTCTCTCTGTGCCCTCTCCCCAACACTCTTGCTAATGTACCCCCCTCCTGCATGCTCCTTACTTCTTTCTCCAGGAGGAGGGGTTGATCACCTGTGCTAGTTCAGTGTTGATAACGGATGGTGCCAAATGTCTTGGAACTTGCATTGCGTCAGTCATGGCTGTTGAAAGTAGACTGGGTTGGCATCATGCTGAATAACCTGGCTTCCCTGCTCTCTCCACCCCCTTCCTGGTCTCAAACATGACAAGATGGCATTAGTGTGGTTAGACTGTATGCCTTGGCAGGGCCTAAACAACACTGTGATGTGTATATATCTCTCTTCTCTATCAGTATCCTGTAGCCCCAGTTATCACTAGTTTGTGCTTGCAGCTGAGAAATAGAGAGATGGCGCATGTATGTGGCTTAGCAGCAGGAAGAAGAAAAAACCATCTAGCACATTATCAGTCGTTTCCCCCCCCCCC